TGAACGACAATTCTTCCATTCTTTAATTACTTGCACCACAACAAATGTTTTTAGTAATACCAATGTGAATGGCTGGAAAAGATAACACTTGAAGAGTGAGAAATTTCTCACTCAGGCTTTAACGCCTGACCTTGGACATTCACCTGGATTAAATGATTGTATGGATACTTACTTATTCCTGAAATCATTGAAGTATGTTATTGTTGGCCAATAAATCTACGAACATAAGAATTGCTATTAAAATGGACGTTTGTCTGACGAAACGATTGGTCTTGTAGATAGGTCAATCATGCCTACTACTCACAACGCAACCACCAAATACTGAGCCGTTTGATGTGAAGAAAGAATTGTGAGCAGAAATGAGCTAAACTCAGAACGATGTGTATGTACTGTAAAGTGATATTTTCCTGCTATTTTCATAACACTTAGACACTTGGTATCATGGTAGAGTTTAATGTCCTCCCTCTGTATCATTCAATACTGCTAAAACCTTTTATGTTTCTCTGCAATTATCATTTCGATGAGGCCTGTAAATTGGCTTCTCTCATGTTAACTTCATTACTTGAGAATAAAGATATTTATTTATTTAGATAAAGATTATGCAGACACAGTCAGCTAATTAACTGAAGCTCTCTGTGACCCTCATTTTTACATGAATCCTGTATTCAATAAGCATTGTGGTGTAAGTGGAATCAACGGGCCATGAAATGTTTGGGTGATAGACCGCAAAGTCAAATGCTCGGAGAACTAAAATGCATCCCTAGTCCACGTCCTGGATTGGTTTGGCGTCTGTCAGCTGCTATGAAGTCATCATTGTGCGTGCCTTATGGCCTAATGTTGACAGAAGAGCGCTGGACTGGTCAGATCATGAACCTTCTGGCAGACGGCCCACTACAGGTTGACTCTATGTTCACCACACTAGCACTGATTATTTGCTGCGTGGGTGCCCCTTATGGTTTTGAACCTTCCGCGTGGGAACAGAAGAAAGGAACATTTACGCAACTCCTGTTATGTGCTGTTTGACATGTGTGATACATCTTATGAGGAAATCCAAATGGAATTAAAACTCAAGGCATTGTCCTAGTTTTACCCTACCACTAACGGAGTTTGCTTTTCCGAATTTCATGGACTGTAATTACGGGCCTATTTAAGCTACTTAGGCTCCATAAAATAGTCCGTATCCAAGAAAGGATTTGAAATACCCGGCAAACTTGGCTTCGAATTTCTGTCTTCTGAGGGCTCCGCGTTCACTGCTGGCTTCTATTGAGTGATGGACGACACTTAGTGCACTTGTTCAAATTTGCCCGCTTCATTTACCCACTAGGGTGCCTGAAGTAAACATGTTGTGCCACTTTCACTACCTTCTTGCTTGCTACACTGTGACTGTTCTAAGTAAGTTGTTCTCAGCGTAAGCCTTAAGTGCCAAGTCCAATAAACTCACTTGTAACGTCCTCTTACTTGGAGGAAGATATCTTGGAACGGGTTCATAGGAGAACTACAACACTGTGACTGAACTGCGGATCAACATGCAAGCGCCCCAATCCAGGTGGGAACATGTTTGTGATGTATCATGGTGCCCACAAACCGCCTCCTCGCAAGAAAATCCCACTTAAGCTTTGAAAAAATACCTCAGCTTGAAGGTAGTACTTTACGATTGGAGCACTTTAGAGCAGTAACGTTCGGTGATAGACTATTTGCAGTTAGAATTCGTATCCTACAGAATACCCTTCCTGAAATGTTACTAAGTACCTTTCTCCCATTACATTCTAAGGGAGGTAAGACGTCTTTTTGGGGCCCCGTGGTTCAGACAGGCTGTGGGCAAGGCGGCCTGCCCTTTCTTACGGACCTCAGGTAGCAGTCTTAGTGGAGAAAAATCGACCTATGATAGTCACTTATCCCTTGTCATTTGGGTATTTTAGAACCTCGTAAAGGACCGTGATTCTCATATGCAAAAACGTTTTCCAACACCACAAACTTAGAATCAAAGGAACCATTGTTTGATGCATTCACAGCGGGAATTTAAAGTTCTGATGTTGTGGAGAATCTGAGGAGGATGTGTGGGTTATCGGGCTAGAAGATCTGGGACAAGAGACGTAAGGCGACACCAAAGCTTACCGAATGGTTCACAACGTGATGGTCGGTTATGTATGCCATCAGATGTTCTGGGAACATATCTGTTTCACCTAAGCATGTTCCCACTACACGAAGGATGGTGCTGCGCCTAAATCATTGGGTGGCTAACCAATGAGTTAGAAATTTGGAAAGCCTACCGCTAGTTGGGTGTTCTGAGGTGAAGCAAGTTTCTTCACGACAGAGTCACCTTCGGAGCAAGCTGGTTTCAAACGATCCAAACTGGCACCATCTTCACTTCCATTCCGACTGACAACATGAAACTTTTCGTGTTGCTTGACGACTTTGGATGGTCCGCCATAAAGTGATTCATGGGTCAATGAGTCACGTCATGGCTCACCATGAGATCTGATGTTCTCCGTAAAGTAGAATGAACGTGGACGTTGGCCATTTGTGGCCGAAAATGAGCGATCCCGACTGAACACACCGCGTTCAAGTATCTTTTGAAGTAAGACGCACTATCGAGAATGGACCTGTGAGCGGAGAATGAAATGAATCCGCTTGATAGTAGAAAAGCAGTTCCGTGAACTAGCCCTGGCAAACTACATCCAGTATCGAACTCCAACTCATCCTAAGCACCCAGTGGGATTTGGGACAGCGCACGAGTCTAGTGAGGTATGTCTGAAACTGAAAGCGTAACTTTCGGTCACCGGCGAACGGTTCTTTCACGGCATTTCCGCGTACATGACGGGTTGGCGATTGGAACCAGCTGCAACGCAAAAGCCCACGCCTGAATTAGCGGTTCAGGTACCTAAAGCAAATTTCTTTATTTGAACTCGTGAGGAGACAGTAATCGATGCAGACTCGGATGGAATCTAAAACCCGTGAAGCATCATGCATGCAAAATAGGAATTTTCGCGGCGCGTTTTGAAAATCAAAGGGCATGTCCAAAAATTCAAACAGTCCAAAAGCTTTAATGGTGAACGTTTTGAGACATCTTTTGATGCAGCAGGTATTTGCTCGAATCCACGTCCATTCCGCACAAAGCCACAGCTAAGTTGTAGATGTGAGGTATCGCGTAGCATTTGGGCATTGTCTTGGTATCAAGTAGCCTGCAGCTACCAGTAGGACGCCAACCCTTGCTATCCTTTTTCTGTACCACACGCGGTGGTGGCACGTGAGGGTTCCTTGGCGGTTGAATAGCGCTGGTTTTGAATATATGGCTAAATTTGTCCTTCGCCATCTTCAAATTAGGAGAGGCTAGGAAGAGTGCTTCGGTTATCACAAGTGACTTTGTGGTTGCGATGTATTGCATGACACTGCTGGCTATGCAGGATAAAGTACGCTTCTGTTTTCACAACTCCTGGCGCTGGTTGACAGAACCACTCGACCGAATCCTTCTTCTATAGCTAAGCCTGGACCTGTGCGGTTGGTCTTGCCAATAGATGACTACTTGTTATCAGTACCCAGTTGTCATCAATAAGCATCCAAAAGTAGGTGACGGTGGCTAAGAGGTTTCCTAGCAATGACGGGCATGTGGACATAGGCTAGAAGGAAAATCTAGTGTTCAGGCTTGTGTAAACCGAAGTTAGGATGGATATACCTTCCCCGAAGCTTTCTGTCGGTTCTCTGCCAGCTGACTGGAGATTGCATCATGAAAGCATTTTTTCATGGTCGAAGAAAGAACGCTAACTTGCAAGAAAGTGGCGAAGAGGCAGCGAACTCCCATTTTAGCGTTTGCGGTATCAAGAAACGGCTGTTTTCTTCAGTGAGGGTTGCTTTTAACACGTGCTTGCGGTGCGGTTTGTAATGTCGGTGTGAAACTAAGGTCAGTCAAGCAACGTGTTGTGATCTAGGGACCAGAGATCGCAAAGTATTAACAGGGTTTTTAGCCCCATTGTTTCAGAATCCAACCCTGCGGAAATATGGTTCAGTCTCCGCCAAAATGGTGGTTTTAGGTGGTTTGCACGAGTCATTAATGTCATAAGTAAACATATGCACTTTTACATACCTGTTAGGTTCCGAGGTAGTGGTTGTATCACAGCAAGAAAATGAGAATCAGGTTCCATAACACTTATTCCTGGAAATTGGCTACAGCGGAGACTATCCAGATTTTAGCCCCATCCAGTCTGAATGACGTAAACTGAATCAGGTGTGCTGATGCTCTAATATGAATTTCGTTAGTTTGGTCGCACTTTAATATGAAAATTTACTGTCCCGATGCAAAAACAAATACAAGTAGGAAAGTGGTGCATGATTACGAAAACGAGGGGCAGTGGTTTAGAGGCTATCAAAAGCCATCCAGTCAAATACATGGGCAAACCACTTGTCCTCGTACTTGATGGATATCCATATGACCAAGAAACGACACATCTGAGTAGCCAATTAAGGACTGCATACAAGCCAGATTGTGCCAATTTACAGGAAGGCATGAGCTATCTTGCCGGAGACTCGAGAACTAGAAACGTAAAGCAAAACGAAAGCGTGGCAAACGGTGTGGATACCTTACCCTTTACTCCCAGACTGATAAGCCTTTTGAAACCATGAATGTCAGCATCAGTTTTTAATGTCTTTGAAACGTAGGCTACTGCTTTGACAGAATTATTTGCCACTAAACATTCAGTCCATCTGACAAGACGTGATGAAAATTGGAATAAAACACTTGGGGAACCAATGTGAACCACGATCTCGGGACAAATAATGCACCTCTCTACAAATTTAAACAACACCCCTCACCTATCTGGTTTTCGGGAGCTGCAGCAAACAAGTGGGTTGATCTACTGCATAGGAATATATAAATGACCTGCAACCGTCCCACAAGACAGGAGATAGCGAGAATAACCCAATTGGTTTATGCAAGCTCGCAAAACATATTGGATACTGGACAATATATACGTGTTTTGAGCGCGCTCGTTGGTTTCAGGTTTGCGATGTACAACGGTATTGGCCTTCCTACCCCTCGAGGGAGTGGGACCAACGGATATGTACAAAAAAACTTGGCTTTTATTCACAGTTTCAAAGAGCAGAATCCATATAAGACAGATGATGATATTAAGAGAGCGGATGCTCTGCTTTTCAAGGAACCAAATAAAGAAATACTGGAACATGAACGCAAACGAAAAATTGAGGTTAAATGCTTTGAAATGGAGCAGGAGATGGAAGAACAAGGGTAAATTCATTTTTTCTTCCATCATTTCCCAGTTATACTCCAGGTGAAATTGAATTCAGAGTCAATGGATTCCGAAAGAAGTTACTTGATGAACTGAAGGGCTCTTCTGAGGGCAAAAAGACTCTTAACGTCGAACCCTTCGAAATTTCACAATCGGAGCATGGAAAGCTGCTCCCTAAAGGAACTCATGAGACCGCCGCTGTTACTATTTTAAAGAATACCGTTTTTAAAGAGGCACTTGGTATTGGTGAGCAATTTCAGGATGGAAACTCCGTGGAACTGTCAACACAAAGAAAGAAAGAAGACGCAGAAACGAAGCGTCTCATTGAAGTACAGAAGGATATGAAGTACGTTTGGGAGCCCTTTTCAAAGCTTCCATGGAATTGTTTACTGGTTTCTTACTAATCACGATCGGTAATTCAGTGTGAAAATTTACTTGAGTGCACAGATTTATTTACGGTAAGCACAATAGTGATGTGCATAAACTAGAAAATGTTATTTCGTTTGCGAAAAAATCGTAGATTTCTACGAGGTTCAACTGAATTTTTTATATTCAGAAACCAGAACTGACGATCTGTATCAAATACTATAAGCCATCAATAGTCAGGTATATATGTGTACAACATTTTCTCTGATTAGGTCCAGTGGAATTCACATTGGTTTTGAAACCTTTCCAGTGATCTATGTATCCTCATAGTAAGTGGCCCAAACCAATAATTCGCGGTCGCACAATTTACACGTAAGTTATGTCCCAAAGGTGTGATTGTCATCTAAGTAGAAATGCACTGCAGGTCTAAGACTTTAGAGCTAGTTTTCACTTTTATCCAGGATGTTTCAGCATGCTTCTTTACGAGTTAGGAAGTGGCTAGTTCACTGAATGTTTATATTTTATTTAATTAACTGGTTTCAATTTTTTTTCCATGGAGAGCTTAGTAAACATGTTCTTAGTTTACATGTTCTTACTATATGTACTTAGCTAGTAAGTCGTATAAGTCATTCTTTATGATGTGGAAACTAGTCGGCGTGGTTTAACTATGATATATCAGGTATTCATTCTCTGTCAGGTTGCAGCGCCGGCGCCAACTGTACTTAACTCGAAAGAGGCATTCATATCCATCCGTTATATCTTATGGCAGTTTCCCTGAAATGAGTGCTGGGTAAATACATTACTTTCCGTGGCAACTCATAGGCTACTCAAATCGCACTCAACTATCTGTGTTCATTAGTAAAGTATGTGCTTCGTGCTAACGTGTGACAACTTGTAACTGCACCCACCCCTAGTAGTGAATCGCTAGAATTTGTCGGAAAGATTTCGCACTTAAGCGGCTATGTAAGTACTGTAGTTTTCACTGATGAGATTCCCAAACGTATATCGAAAGGCAGAGCGACAAACACTGGTTTGAGTCACCTTTAGTGCTGTCGTGACGTGAACATTGCTGTAAAGTTTTGGGTATTCAATACGTTTGTACGAACAGTTCTTCTCTACACCCGTGAAACAGCCTCCAAGCTTAGGGTGTCCGACGACTCCACCTTTTTCAATCGCCGGTCTCCGTGGGACTGGTCGCATCTTGTGAAAACACCATGTAAGTTATTTTAAGATTCGGTGGGGTGTGTTCATATCTGATGGAGATCGTCATTCATTGAACGTGGTCATACTAAACTACTAACTTCAATGGGTTGGGCATGTATTATTTATTTCGTCCTAACGGCTCCCGCTGCTAACTGTTCACTTCCCCTGGGACTAGCTGGAAGAAGGGGATAGACGGTCAGCTCACGAAGTGATGCCATGAGATGGATAGTTCTATTAGTTTAACATATCCAGTTACATTATTCCCCAGATAGTCCAGAATACTATGCGACTCATTGATTTGGGATGGTAACATACCGCTCAGAATCGAAACCAATGGCTATCATGTTCCAGTTCCCTCGCTTCTTTTACTGAAAGGTGAAATGAAAAGGTTGGATTCTTTGGATGGTTTTAAAAGACTCCCTCAATAGCCCACTTCTGTTTTCATTTCTGTTCTCCTGTTTTCTGTCTCAATGCGGCTTTATCAATTTGTTTAGTGGATCTTTTGGCTTACAAGTCATACCACGCTTTTGTTCTAAGTAATAATGAGCACTACTGTTTTGTTCTTGGTCGAACTGCGGCCCAGTAGTTTAAGATGACTATCAACCATCGGGTAGTGGATTCGAGCCCTACTGCACTTGATGTGGTTTGAGCAGCCAGGTAGTATCACTAGCTCTCACACTATAGGTGTGGCTGATTGCTTACTGTAAGGATATGCATAAGGTGTCTGAGTGCATCTGCGTCTGTTGCGTTTTGTTCTTGAACACCCGTGCGCGAGGTATCAGATGAGTTTTCTGCCCTGAATGGTGTTCATCAAGGGTGTTCGCTCTCTCTATCCTTGCTTAGTTTTGTCATGAATGTGTCTATGGAGATTTCGCTCTCCTTATCTGACTTCTAGGGTTGACCTTGTCACAGGAGACTCCGGCAGACCTAGAGTATGGAAGTGACAGTCATGTTAGGTGATGAAAACAAGGTCTAGTGTTCTGATCACCTTGAGTAACAATTTGAGAATGTTTTGGATGCGTTCCTCACTACTCAAATCCAAACCTTTGTTTCAAAACTGCGTTGGCGCAGTGGTGATTACGCTCGTTTACCTCTTTACTTGGAAATGGGTAACAAAAAGTGATATCAAGGTAGACAAGACTGTAAGATCACGGATGGGAATTTGAAAATGAAGCTGAGTTAAAATTTTTAAGCTTTAAAAGACATCAAAGAATAATTGCATCTGTGCCATTATGACCGGTTTCTAGACGTTACTAAGCGTCTCCAACCAGTAATTCCTACTAACCCGATGACCCCAATCCAACAGTCTACAGACACGCAAAGCCAACTCGGAGCCTCACACACACGTGCAGCGCATCAGCATGCGCAAGCCACCTCAGTCGGTGATAGATTACAGCTTCTGGATTGACTACCCTTTTTGTCTGGAACCCTCCTAACTTTGTCATTGCTCACACAGTGTTACCGCCATACGTGAGCAACACTGCGAATACACTCGTGATGAAGAACTTGTAATCTCCTCATATCACCTTTTTTCAACCCTCGTCTCACAGCCGTGTAGTAGGACAGAGTAAACGTAGTGTGGTTTACCAATCCTTAAATAGATATTCGGATATTTCACCGGTGCTAGAGGTCATGCAAGTTAGCGAATGCCGAGCGGGCCGTCTCTATTCGAGCTAAAATCTTGTCAGCGACTAACTTGTGTGGGCTAAAGTAACTCTTCAAGTAAGTAAAAGGGTTGATATATTCCACCACTTGACTTTTTATCCTTAAACTGAGATTAGTTCCAGACCAGCCCTAAAGTATCATCTTGCATTTCAACCAAACACTGTCACTACATCTCTCCATCGATAAAGTCGAATGTCGCCTTTCGGTCAAGAAACATGGCGTTGGTAGATACGCCTGTGTCCCAGAACCTTTCCGAGCATGGAGATTGAATCGATGCACCCTCGTCCAGGTTTGAAACCTTCCTTGTTTTAGGTACTTTGTTCTAGAGCCCTAGTTAGGAGTCTGATAAATATGAACTCTGGGGTCTTAAACACAACGTTAGTCAAATTGATTTCTCCGGGATAATCATATGAAGATTTCTCATTTGTTAAACACTGCAGTAATCAGCTACGAACCAAAATAGTTGGACTACTCCTGATTCCCATACACTAGTATATTCGTTACTCGGAAATTTTCTCTTTCCGTCACCAAAACTCGATAAACTGTCAGGTTCTTCTACTTTGCATAGTTTTAGGTTTCCAACAGCCTTCTCTACGTCATTTTGAGTTTGTTGGTCGACATCTGCAACATATTCAGGAGACTTCATCCATCCAAATCAACATAGGACCAGGCATTACTGCATAACGATCCGAGTTGCCACACCTCATATCAGTACACCAAGTAAAAAAGCAGTGAAGTGGAAGACGAAGACACAATTCAGTCAAGAGAAATACAAAGTACTAGGAGAGAGAAACGAAGAATGAGAAAATGATGAGATTCGGTACACCGTCGTTAAGATGAGCATAATGTGTGTATACATCTACGTCACTGACATCGGTTCTGAGTCCTACCATCACCTAGAGTCTCCAACGACTGGTTCCTCTTGTCCCACGAACCACAACCGGCTAGTCTTCATCGCCCTACATGGCTTAAAACAACAGTCAAAGACTTCATACATTGATGCCATGTTTTAATCTGGCCGCCTCAGACGTTTTCCCAGCCTGAACCTACTTCGGCCAGCATTGTGTTATGAGGCAGACGGCAGGCAACTAGGCATGTGTAACACATGTCCCAACCAGCCATCTCAGTCGATGAATGTTGACAACCGTGTCAACTGATTTACCTCTTCTCCCTGAAACCCAACGCCTGACATCTGTGTTACTCACGTTGTGACACCACAGAATACGGCGGTCTATGCTATGAAGGTGATGGTGGTTAGACACCTGAAGCCAGCCTTCTCATGTCTTCCATCTTGAATGTCCATGTTTCACAGCTATAGAGTAGAATAGAGTGGAGTGTTGTGCAGTACACGCGACCGTTAATAGACAATCGGATGTCATGGCGGCTCCACAGGTGTTGTAAGTTGGCGAAAGCCAACCGAGCCTTTTGTATTCGTGCAGAGATTCCATGGACCACTGAGCCACCAGGGTAGGGTTGATCCTACTTCCCAGGTAAGTGAAGTGGTCGACACAGGTGCAGAATAGATGTTGACTAAACGAAGCCTCACTGGAGACCAGTTGGACTGTTCTTAAAAGTGTTGCATCCAACGCTGTAGACGCCTGTCTCGAGAGGTTTTCGGTTACGCAACTTTTTCTATGGTAGTTTCGTTAACCATCGTCTACGTATGCGTGGTAGTCACAGCATTCGCGAAGTTAACCGCCAAAATTATTTTGCGTGACTAAGTGAATTTTCTGGGTGTAAGTATATGTCAATGGAAATGCCTGAAGGTAATTACCCTTCTCAACGTCACTAATTAATATCCAACAGTCACTTGTTCAGTAGTCACCTAGTTAGTTCTACGACAGCAGCTGACATGTTCACCATCTCCCATGACCTCCAGTTATACATCCATCGCCATCAACTCAAATATCAACTAAGGTCAACCCTTATCAGGGGTCGTTGACAAGTATTTATAATGTACAGAGAGGAAACAGGCAAATACATGGAGAAAAGATGGAATTCCATTCGTACAGTTCATCCAAAGTTGGTTCAGTGAACAGGTCTCAGTAACCAGTCCTTCACAAATCCACTCCACAAATTGTATTCTTTTAGATACTACCGAAGATGGTCACTAAAACGAATTGAAGTGTACTGAGCAGTTACTTTCACATTCATGCAGTAGCCAATGAGACATTGTGTGGAGGCTAGTAATACTGTTTGACTGGCCAGATCTTATTAGGTAAAGTAGGGTTTAAACCTGCAACCCACTAGATAAAAGTCAAATGCCTCGACTGATGAACTATAGCTCCACATGGTAGCCATCACCGTGAATCTAAACCTAAGTACTCACAAATTTTATTGTTTTGACAATCTGTCTTCTGATTTTTATTCATGATCAAATATGCTTGGGCCCAGTCATGCCTGCATCTGAATACTCTCAAATGAATGATTTCTGGAAATTTATGAGGTATCTAGATGGTAGAGAGGTTCTAAGAATAGTCAGATGAAAGCATTAGATGTGGGGCTAACTTACTGCAATTCACAGGCAACAAAACAGAAATACCGATATGATGCTGCCAAAAGAATATGATGAATAACTGAAACGCATCAACTCTTGGAAAAAAACGACATGAGATTGACAGATTCACTGTTTTCACTGCGAGAAAGGTATCCTTGTATGCAATCTAAACCATCTGTGAGGATATCTGAACGTCGATATTACTCCTTTGCCTGACCAACGTAAGACACCGACCTTCAGAATTCTAAAACTCTATCCTCCCACGTGGCACAGTGTATTTTTCATTATTATTTGTCCCTTGGGTTCCAAGTCCAACATAGGGCTTCAGTAGCACATCATTTCACTCTCTTCTCTGCCGTCTTTTCAATCTGGCTCAACAACTGCCCAGAAGCTTTCATTTCCTCCTCACACGATTTCCTCCATAGGAAATCTTTCAACCATAGAAACACTGACTGACTTCACTGACATTAGTGTTGAAAATCCAGATCTCATTCACTCTTTATGCTGGGTGGAGTGGAGTGCAGTATACCTGCACACTGATTTCCGACTAATAAAGGATGGCCTGTCTTGCTTGCTATTTCGATACTGGTTTTGACATCGTCGTCTGTGTCGCTACCTGTAGTTGAAACGATGCTGCTTAGGTAGGTAGGTAGGTAGGTAGGCCTATCTTGCTTACTGTTTTGATCCTGGCTTTGACATCCTCATCTGTCTCGCCTGTAGTTGATACGATGCTGCCTTGCCTAGGTAGGTAGGTAGATGAAAGAGACTACTTCCTTTAGGTCTCTCCCGTTGATGGTGATTGGTGCTTGTTGTTGGTGTTGTTATTGGTTGGGTGTGTTCGTCAACTCTGTCTTCTCTTTGTTCACTTGAAGGAAGTCCCGTCTTCCTTCACTGCCTCGCTTCACCTCTTCTGTCAACTTGTTGGTTTTTGTATGTAGATGTTGGAGTTTGTGCGACAAGACATTAGACATAAATCACCATCATTGGCGAAATCGAAATCTTCTTCTGAGGTCTTTTCATCGGTCAAACAGCGTATAACCATCTTCTCGCTCCTCACGGTTTGCTGCATGATCCAGTCGACCACAGTCAGGAAGGTCATGAGTGATGGTAGGCGACAGCCTTGTCTTACTCCTGTCTTCACTTGAAAGGCATCACTGAGTAGCTTTCCATTGTGAATCACACTTGGTATGTAGCGTCGTCACATAGCTGTTGAATGAGGTTGATAAAGGTTTGTGGTACTGAAAGTGTAGTGTTGAAGCAGCTTCCTGCCAAATTACTTGTCGGTCGATGCTACCGAAGACTTTTTTAAAGTGGATGAAGTTGAGGCAAAGATGCAGTTGTTTGCCATTCTATACTCTGTTCCATGATGATGCGTTGCGTAGTGTAGCAATTTGATCCGCACATGATTTGTTCTTCCTGAAGCTAGCCAGCGTTACGGTTGTAATTTTGAATCCAGAGCATCTTTTAATCTCTCCAGGATGATGCGACTTAATATTTTACCTGGGTTGAACAGGAGCATGATTCCTCGCCATTCCCTGCAAAGTCTTAGGTCTCCCTTCTTTGAGAGTTTGACAAGGTACCCCCTCTTCCAATCAAGGAGCAGGCACCTTTCCTCCCTTCCAAACCTTCTGCAACAGTGGTGTGGTGTGAGCATGTCCGCTGCTGATGTCTCTGCTACTAAGTTCATTGCTTCTGGAGGAATTCCATCTGGTCCTGCTGCTTTCCCACCCTTCAGCAACTTCATGGCTTTCAGGACTTTGGCTTTTGTTGGAGAGCCTGTGTTCACTTGTAGTTCTGTAGCTGAGCTGCTGGTGGTATTTGTGGACGAGTTGAATGTGGTGATGGTGGTCGATTCAACAGTTTTTCGAAATGATCAGCCCACCGTTTCCTTTGTTTCTCTTCTTTGGTAATTAGATTCCCTTCACTATCTCTCACTGGTTTTATCTCAGTTGATATCTTCCTTCCGAGATAGTAACCTGGTTATTTGATATAATGTTGTCAGGTCTCTATCTCTCCTACCTGCAGCCTATTCTGCTTCAGTTGCCAATGTGTTGTAGAAGTGTTTTTTGTCTTTGCATGCACTCTTCTTCACTTCTTTGTCCAGTGTTTTGTACGTTGCACTCAGTTCGTCTTTTCGTTGTGCATCCTTGCCCTGGTTCATCTTCTACTTCACCATCCTCCTCTCTCTCCTCTATCAAAACTTCCATGTATCTGTGGAGATCCATTCCTTGTATTGTTTCTTCTTCCTTCTTAATACGGTTATGCAGGTTTCTTTCCACATCTCTTTCAAAGAGTTCCAGTGCTCATCCACACAGGTTTCATCAGGGATGTTGCTGGATATCTCCCATTTTGTCTTGATAGCTGACTGATGTGAAGATGTCCCTTGTAGTTTTGTCCTTCAGTTCATTTTCTGTTCTGGGTGTTGAACTTCAACTGTGGCCTGTCATCACCCACTTCTTTGAATGCTTTCAACTTGACTTTGCAGGTAGGTTGCTTGCACTCGATAGTGAGAGGTGTGAACCGACATCTGCTCCCCTTCTTGATCTGATCTTGTGTCCAGAAGGCTGCGTCTCCACTTTCTTCACATTGAGATGAAGTCGATCTGATTTCTAGTGTGTCCATCTGGTGATGTTTATATCGCTTTATGAATATCCTTGTGTTTGTACACACTGCCTGACTCCAATCACCAAATCGTTGAATGCACAGAAGTCTGCAAACAGTTCTCCATTCTCATTCATAATTTCACCGAGTACTCCTCCACCGATGATTGCTTCTCTTCGTGTGTTGTCCGCTCCGAGTTTGGCATTCATGTCACCCATTAGAATTTTGATGTCCTCAACTGGAGTCTTATCTAGTAGTGATTGCAGTTATCTGTAGAATTCCTCCTTCTTCTCTTCATGTCCATTATTTGTTGGCGCGTAGCATTGAGTGATTGTGACTTTCCATCCTTTTGAGTTGAATCCATCTTGTTGTCATGATGCTGATCCTGCATGAGGAGATTGGTTTCCATTGTATGAGAGCCTTCTATGGTGTTAAGGACATCATGATGGCCACTCTAAAACTCAGTGTGTTCGTGGCTGTCGTTTGGGTGACAATACCGGAGTAGATTATTGACTCTCCAGTTGACAGTTGAGAGAGTCCACTTCCATTCCATCTGCTTTCACAGATTCCTA